TGCCGACCAATGATAACTACTTTTGCGGCATGTTGTCACAAGTTATTTATAATTCATCCATTGTAATATTGCCTTTACTATTGAAAATATAAAATAAAATCAGTTAGAGTGTTGTTAGATGTGACTTATGATTAGACAACCATAACTTGTAATATATATATATATATATTCAAATTTAAATGTCAATACTCTAAAAAAAAATATAAATTTATAGTATAAGTATGTATATTTGTTGAATAATGTAATAGATTAATAGAATATTTTTGTTTATTGGGTCATTAATTTTCGTTTTTCAGTCAATTTATTTATGTGCAGAAAAAAATGTGAAGGAAAATTTAAATTAAATATATAGTGGGTAACCCCTGAAGTTGAACTAAACTAATGTATTGTCTCTTTAAAACCGTGCTTGGCTTTCCATTCTCGGCTTTTCAGGCAACGTCTTTTTATACTTTGCATTATATTTTATGTTCTAATTAATTTATCGGTTTTGTTCGCTGTCATTGGCTAGAGTGCATCACAACACATTGTCAAATGAAATCACTATATATATATATAGTTAGTATTATATATAGCTCTATGTGTTTTTGTGTTTATTTCAATATGCATTTTATGTTTATAGTCTGAGTCATTTTTAGGTTCTTTTTAGTGTTACTCAGTCTATTTTGTCGTATTTTGTGTATTTTTACTTTATGTTTTTGTGTTTTGCCGTACTTTCTCGTCTCTTTTGGTGATATTTAGGTCCATGTTTCAAAAGTTAGGAAAGACGAGTCGCTCGAGTCATTATCGAGCCACTCGAGTCAGGGTCGTCTCAAGAAATTCCGAGGCCTAGACGATTCATGCAATATTCATTTTCAATATTATAAAATCTCACAATTTTATTTTCTTTCATTGACCCATCACATCTACATCGCAAATGAGATAATAAAATATTTTTATTAAATTGACTGGAATTACTAAGTTAGAGAATTCAAATTATATCGAGAAAATGAATGATAACCTAGATATTAATTGTGAAAATTCGAATGACTTGTTCGATTTTGGATATTGGGAGGATAATATGCCCTATATATATATATATATATTGGTCCAAATGGTGACTAGAGTTACTAAAGTAGAAGTTTCAATGATAAACTCTGCAAACGATCTTTGCCGAATGCGAAAAACAAAATAGTTTTAAATCTTGATTTAGTGACTTGATCAATAATTTTTGCGCAAAAGAGCTTGAGAAGGTTGTAGGCCTTTGTTATTTGTATTTTCGTTTATTATTAGCAATATTTAATATTATTTGTTCAATTAAAAAATTTAAAATATAGAAGTATAATTATGGGACACTCAGTACAAATTTGTCTGGAGCCTCCAAATTTTTAGAAACTGTCCTGCTTTTCGTGCACGGGTGTCTCCCTCCACAATTTGCCGAGTTCTCACGTACGTCGGTTTATCCTGCGCCCTGTTGTGAATAATTCCCCCATCCTGGTAGCTGCGTATCTTCTCTTTTATTTTATGAGTGGCTGCTCATGTTATTATTTCTTTTTGCTTGTCCTTGAATTAACTCCTCCTTGC